TAAATCTTTGAAAATTGTAAGTTTTCTTAATTTCTTTAAATAATTAAGTGACGACTCTTTTCTAAGTATTTTTCTCAAATTGTTTTATACTTAGAACATTTAAAAAAAAAGTAATTTTTCTAAAGATAGTAAAATTACGGCACAACATTCTCTACCCATGATGGCTACATGGCTTATGGGGGTTGTGAGTTGTCTGAACTCTCCCCATATCGGAGCTCAATACTGCTCCCAAAAATATAATAATATTTGCTCTTATGTTTAAAAAAATACTTCTTCTGTGATTTGAGATTAGTGCTCAAAAACTTAGCTCAAAGGCTATCTTGGAAATCAAAGTTTCCCCTCTTGCTTCATTTAGAAAGCGATTACTCTTTTCTGAAAACTAGCCCGAAGGCTCTTTTGAAAATCTCAGTTTTCCGTTCTTATTTAAATGTGAAAACATTTTAAATCTCTTTGGGAATACTTAGTCCCCATATACTTTTGAAGAGATGAACTTCAACTTTACTCTTTATTGAACTCAAAACTTAAGTCTTAAAACAAGGTTAAAACGTTTGCAAAAGACTTTTGGAAAACTTTATTAACTTCTCTTAACTTGACTCTTGACTTCTCTTGACTTTGATCTTAACTACTCTTGACTTGACTCTTAACTGGTCCTTGAATTGAATTATGGATTCAAGGATTGTGATTTGTGATAGGAAAGGTCTCATGACGTTTAGGAATGATTTTAGATAGCTAAACATGAGAAAAGTCACGAAATCACCGTCTTGGAACAAGTCCGCGACGCGGAGGTGTTTTAAATAATTACTCGCAAAATTAAATTTTGAGACAGAGGAGTCCGCGTCTTAACTGCAACGCAGAGAAACTTTTTGGTCACTGGGGGAGCAAGTCCGCGTCGCGGACTTGCGTGCTAGATCATGCTCGACTTTTTCCTTCTTCGTTTTACAGCCCCAATTCGCCTAAACTCGAATATTTTTCTCAAATTCATTTTATATTCCAATGCCCGGCATATGTACCTAAGAACCTAACTCAAAACAACTCTATAATTCAACTCAAAAGATCTCAGAAACTCCTCAATTCATCCCAATTCAAGAACAACATTCAAATTCAAGAATACATGTCAAGAACATCAACTTTCAAACTCTTTTAGGACAAATTTCGCTGAACTAAACATGCTTGGAGTGTGGGTGAAACGAACCCAACGCTATGAAAGACTCACATACCTTGTAAGACCAATTCTTTGGCGAATTCTTGATGTTCCTCTTCTCCTTTCTTCTTTTCTCTTTTCTCCAAGCCCTATCGTATTTTTCAATTGACTAAACTGATATCCTTCTGATTTGACCCTAATTAATTCACTAAAACAAATTAAATTAATTGGGTAAGGAAAAGACTAATATACCCTTCAAAATCCGGATTAGACTTTCCTTAATCCAACAGCCCAACTTCCAAAGGGAATAACTTACCCATACGAACTCGGAATCCCGCAAACTTGGCGGCGTTGGAAAGATCATTCCAAGAGCTTTCCAATCATATCTGGAACTACACTTAACTCATCCTGAGCTAGGAGTTATGTCTGTTTGAAGTTGACCAAATCTCAACTTTTCCTAACTTAAACAAATTTCCAGATTTTCGTTCTTTCCAAAAATGACTTTTTCCAATTATTAGCTTCTTCCTAGTTATTTCAACTTGCGAGGTGTTACAATTTGTGTTTATATAAAGCAAGAAAGAGATAAAGGCAAAAGAGAATTGGGTAGAGAAAGATTTGTATTGTATAATTATAAGTAGGGAAAAAGGACAAATACACTCTGAACTATCGTAAATGGTATGCAAATACCATCCGTCATACTTTTGGGACATTAGTGCCATGTTGTCCAAAAACTAGAACGTGCATACCCTTTATACTAACGGACATACATGTGTCAGAATCTAATCCACTAACCTCACATATATTAAATATCATATCGATGGATAAGATTGCGCCACATGTCCGTATTTAGTCTTCCGTTAGAGTGAATGGCATATATGCCCTAGTTTTTGGACGGTAGGGGCACCAATGTCCCAAAAGTATGACGAAGGGTATTTGCATACCATTTACGAAGAGATATGTATTTGTATTTGTATATACAATTTTCTCTCACTTTATATAAACACAAACATAATTTATACATTTGTGTTTGTATAAAGTGAGAGAGGCGAGGGAGAGTGGTGAGCGAGATCAGGGAGAGTGGCGAGTGAGATTTCTGGGAGAGAGGCAAATGACAAAGTGTTTGCTACGGATTAAAATTAAATAAAACTGTGGTTATATATAACATTTAGTTTTAATTAATAATTTGCTATTTTATACAATTTTCCCAACATAATAGTGCAACTCCTATCATCAAAATAAAATGGGTTGCTTTTTGAGAAAATAATGCCATGAAATTTAGGACCACCACGATGCCTCAACATATTTATAGATAAAATATAGAGGTCTATGATTTGAAAACATTAAAAAAAAGTACTTCCTCCGTCCCATTTTATGTGAGGTAGTTTGACTCGGTACGAAATTTAAGAAAGAAAGGAAAACTTTTAAAACTTGTGGTCCAAAATGAATGATAAAAATTTGTGTTGCTGTAAATCATTTTATTAAGGGTAAAATAGACATTTTATAGTTAAATTATTACTTAAGTATAGAAATATGTCATTCTTTTTTAGACTGACAAAAAAGGAAAGTAAGTCACATAAATTGAGATAGAGGGAGTACTAACTACCAAGTTGATGATGATAGACCAATACACCAGAATTAAACTTATAAAATTATGTTTATTTGACTTTCTTTTCATTATTCATTTATTGAAAGGCTAGTATTATAGAACGTGTATTTTAACTGTATAAAAATGAAATAAATAAATAAATAGTAGCATTAATTTATTAATTTACAAGAGGTATACATATAGAGAGAGAGACATGTGAGCCATGACCCATAATAAGTAGGCGTTTGGCCATGCATGATATGGTATCGTGAGATAGAATCAGTATTTGGACATGCGATTTTATGTTGATTTCATCTCATGATTCCATATCACGAGATGTGATTCCATATTCTCCGAAAACTATGATATGGAATTATATGGAAATTCCATATCATGATTTGAGATATTTTAATGGAAAAATTACAGAAATTCCACCTTTAGTTTGCTTATTACCATTGCTTCCTATAAGTTTTACAAATCTCCAAAATCCCTCATTTTTACGCATCAGATTAATGTATCTCGCGCATCATATTAATGTATCAGCGCTTATATTATTGTATCTCGCACATCAGATTAGTGTATCATGTATAAAATGTACATCATATTAGTGTATCATGTATAAAATGTAATGTATCTTACTTAACGATTAATGTATCTCGCGCATACAGATTAATGTATCAACGCTTATATTATTGTATCCATTTTGAGGGATTTTTGTAATTATAAACTTTTAATGGATAGATTGTAATTTTGCCTTAAAAGTATGTGATTTCTGTAATTAGCCCTATTTTAATATAAAAATTGATCCACGAGTTTATATTTTGTTAAAACAACCCCACATTTATATCTACTAAGTACTAACAATTTATTTATATGTAAATAAAATTTATAATCAAATCATTACTTTTTAAAATTTATTATTCTCACCAACATAAAATTTATTATTCTCACCAACATATAGTTATAGTCACTTTAACTCACACCAACCGATTGTTGAGTAATAAATTTGTTTTGTCTCATTTACGTCACATATGCTTTTAGTAATTCTTTATAAAATGTTTGTTGGTAGATAAATATTATGTTGTTGATGCTGGTTTTCAAAACACAAAAAGATTTCTAGCTCCATACAAAGGACTACGCTATCATTTGCAAGATTACGGAGGAAGTGAAAGAGAACCTCAAAATGCCAAAGAACTGTTTAATTATAGGCATTCATCTCTGCGCAATGTGATTGAACGAACTGTTGGAGCTTGAAAAAATAGATTTAGAATACTGAAACAAGGCATGAACCA